CAATGTTGTCCCTTCCTGCTGTCAGAAATTTCCCTTTTCCTTTTCTATGATTTGCCTTAGTCACTGATGTTATCTTGCGAATAGAAGGTCTAGGCTGCATTTGCTTCAGAAATAATGGAGGCTGTCCCTGTTGGCCAGACTTGGCTGTTTATTCCTTGATTATTTTGCCTTACATTGTGATGTATAGCTTCACTGTTTATTCATGGGAAGGATTTTATTTGAGTGCTTAAAGGCCAGAGGAGCAAAAATAAAAACCAATGAAAGTGGAGGAGATTTCTCTGCTCCTGTCTGTCTGTCTGTCTGTGTGTCTATGTGTCTAACATAGATCTGTCTGTCTATGTATCTGTCTGTTTTCAGATGCAGAGACTAACCTTGGAAAGAGCTGCAAGACACTGGCAATAGTGATTACTTTCAGGGATGGTGACTGGGGCGCAGGAGTGAGAGCACTGCCTCATTTATTTCTTTGTGCTGTGTGAAATTTTTACCCTATGCATATTCGCTGTTCCAAAGAGAGTAGAGCTGAGAGAGAGATGTTTGATGAGTTGACTTGGGTCCCCAGATTCTTACATTGAAGTACCAACCCCCAAGACCTTTGAATGAGACCTTATTTGGAAAGAGTCTTTGCAGATGGTCGGTTTAAGGTGAGATCGTTGTCTGGGCACGAACCCAATATGACTGTGTCCTTATAAAAAGAGGAAATTACGTCGCAGAGAGGCACACAAGGAAAAAGCCATGTAAATGTTGGAGTTACGCTGCCACAGACTGAGAAACCACCAGAAGCTAGGAGAGAGACTTAGAACAGATTTTTCCCTAACACCTTCAGAGAGAGCGTGACACTGCTGTCACCTTCATTTTGGACTTCCAGCTTCCAGAATTGTGTGACAATACATTTCTGTTGTTTAAGTCACTCTGCTTGTTAAGACAGTCCTAGCAGACTGATGTAACACGTGAGATGTTAGCAGAAACCCCAAAGAAAGGAGCTGAATGGAGACAAGAGGCAGTGGGTGGCGGGGAGTTGTCTGTGGGGGAGGTGTGGGGGCAGCATGCATGTCTGGGGACACTGGGGACACTTGGCCGGGTGCCCACACCCGCTCCTTTGCCCCGGCCCCTGGCCTGGCAGGCTGCCCGCTGGCCCTGGGCTCTCTGGCTGCCCGGGAACAGCGCTTGTGCCCCACACGCGATCACTTAGTACTGACCCTGAAACGCAGGTGGTTAGGTCGGTGACAACACCCATCAGGGTGAACTTCCCGGAAGAGGCCTCTGGGGTCCACTTAACCAAATGAGAGATGCTTCAGAGGTATGTGCTTCTCCGTGAGTCACATCCTGAAACCCTGCATTCGTTCGACTGGCTCAGACTCCGTCAGGCATAGCCAGGACAGTCAGTCATGGAAGAATGATTGACGGTTGTTAACGCTTCGGAGATGCCACAGCAGATTTCTGAGCAAGCTGGGTCTGGCCCTCCCGTGGCTTTAGCTGGGGCAAGTTTGGGGCAGTGTATCATTTTTATGAGGCCCTCATGTGCACCCTGTCCCCTGCTCCAGGATGTGGAGACTTCTTGCAGAGACCTGGTGGTGGTGGCCTCCCCTGTGCAGGGGCGACACGGATGGCCACCCTTGGTTTGCCCCAAAGTTTTGCCTCCAAGAAGGCACCCCCCGCAGTGCCTCCGGGGCCCTGCCCCTGGCTGGACGGAGCTTGGGCGGCCCCCGACGGGGACTGTGAGCCGAGGTCTGGGCGGCAGAGCTGACAAAGGGCTGCTGTCTGGAGGAGGCGGAGACCCACCTCCTTGGCTGTGTGCAAGGGGAAAGCTAACCAGGGCTCAGAGTCACAGGGGGTGTTAGGCTCTGAGGAAACCCCAGGAGGGCCTCACTCAGATAGGCCTATCTCAGGACCCCGTGCCTGGCCTTTCTCCCAGAAATCTAAGAGCTTTCCCCCTTAAACAGAAACTGCACCAGAGGCTCCCCCGGGTCTCTGCTAAGCCACTGACGGGGAAGCTGGGGTGGCTGTCTCCTTGGATGCCCTGGGCCAAGCTGTCCCTTCAGTTGCTTCCCTCAGCCTAACTCTGGCTTTTGCTGGATGCGTTTCATGGACCGGATAGCGAGCACTGTGTTCGGAGCTTGGGATCTGCCAGGGCCCTTCCCAGCCAAGAAAACCCTGTCCTTTCTGCCACATCTCTTAGTAGGGTGCTGCAGGCCCAGTGGTCAATGGCTTATCCTGGGCTGGGTTTTTAAATTTTTTTTTAAATAAATATAGTTTTATTCCTTTCAGTGAGAAAGTTCAAGTAATAGCATAAAAAATATCAACTGTTTTCCCCTAACATTATTTTATTAATTTTTTTGTGGTGGGGTAATTAAGTTTATTTTTTTAATTTTTTAAATGGAGGTACTGGGGATTGAACCCAGGACCTTGTGCATGCTAGGCATGCGCTCTACCACTGAGCTATATACCCTCCCCCCATTTTACTAATTTTTTAAAAATTGAAGTACAGTCAATTTACAGTGTTCTGTTAATTTCTGGTGTACAGCACAGTGATTCATTTATACATATATATTACTTTTCATATTCTTTTCCATTATAGGTTACTACAAGATATTAAATATAGTTCCCTGTGTTATACAGTAGGTCCTTGTTGTTTATCTATTTTATATATAGTAGTTAATATCTACAAGTCTTGAACTCCCGATTTATCCCTCCCTGCCCCCATCTCCCCCTGGTAACTATAAGTTTGTTTTCTATGTCTGTGGTGGCTTTTAATCTGCAAGATGCTTAAGACCTCTCAGAAGTGGTTAGGCTATAAACCAGCACAGTATTAAAGCCCCCAAGGTCCATAGTTAGAACACTTGCAGTGTTGCTGAAAGATTGGCCCCTGCCCCCAGTGAAGCCGAACTGAAACTCAGAGATAGGGTCTTAGAGAATAAAAGAGAAGAGGCAGCTTTATTGCTTTGCTGGGTGAAGGGACTGACTCGCAGCAGGTGAGTGCCTGCAGAACCGTGAACTCATCTTGCGGGTGGGGCAGGGTGATGGTACAGCCGTAGATTAAACAGTAAGGCGTTGATAACAGTCAACAGAATTTTTCTTGTAAGACTCAGAGTGGCATCATGGTGACCCCAGGCGGCTGATTCTTTAGAGGCTAGTGGTTGTCACTCTTTTGATCTCTTTATCTGTAAGTGTCCACTGCGTGGTCTTCTCGTGATTCAGGCTATTGTGTGAGGTGACAGTTCCGTGACCTTCCTCCTGGAGAACAACTCAGATACCAGGTATGATTATTTCTCTTGATTACTGGGAGCTGGACTGGATGAGTTAGACTGAGACGGAATGTGTGAGACCTTAGCCTGGGGCGTGGCATACCTGCGAGGTGCTCCATAGTGCCGCCTCTCCCCTCCTCCAAAGGTTTGTTCCTCCAGCTGTTCGGAAGTCATTTAGCAATTCCTGGTGGTGTGGATAGGTCCTCACTGTATGGCTTTAGAACCCAGGGGCTCATTTCTCCGGAAGACCGAGTTTCCTCACTTAGACCACAGTTTGTAGACAGGCACCTGGATGTATCTGCTTCTCTGTCGGCCCGTGTCACCAGTGGAGGGGTGGGGAGGGTGGGAACACGGCATGGCCTGGAAGGCCCATCCCAAGATAGAAGAGGCTGGTTTTCAGATTCTTGGGGAGCCGACCTCCAGGAGAGGCTGGAGGAGGTGTCTCTGATGGTGGGGGGGCATGCAAAGAGAAGAGAGGAGAGGAGGGGATTTTACAAAGAGGGAACTGCCTCCTCCCCCTTTAGTTGAAGCCCCCCCAGCAGGGACAGAGTTACCAAGCCAGGCAGTGGCATGGACGGAGGGTGTGCGGCAGGCAGGCCTGTGTGCAGTGGCCTGTGGGAAGCGAGTCGACAAGACTTCCGGCCTCTTTGCCACTCAGAGTGAGAAAGCATGGAAGGAGGAAGAAGGGGGAGGGTCTGCACGGGGTCATTTGATGACTTGAGACCTGCGATGTGTTATCACTGGACAATCGAAAACTTCCTGTTGACGACCTCATGGTCAGAATGCTCATATGAACCCCGCCTGCCTGCATTTCAGCCAAGGGGGAGGAAACATTCCAGCAAAGATGTTATCCTATACACTGACTACTGGGCCAGCTGTCAAAGGTGATAGAGATGTCTGCATCCATACTTGGGGGAATGAGAGGGAAAATGCCACAGCATCTCCGGTGCTGTCAGGAGCCTTGCAGAGGGTGGTCGACCCCAATTCCCACCTGATGCGAGTCCTGCCTTCCCCCTCTGACCTAGCTCTCCAGTGCCACGGAGAATCCGCTGCTTTGTAAAATTTCTTGAGTCTGGATTTTCCCCCAAAGACATTCCAGCCAACCCTTCTCTTGTGATGTGCTCTGAAATCAGCTCGGAAAGCCAGCACGCTCTCCCCGCCTCGGGGAGAGGCAGCGCGGTGCGCATTAGTGCATCGAGACTCTGAGAAGTTCCATAAAGATAAAAACGTGCTTGATTTTGTTTAGCCTTCATTCCCCACTCCCTGTTTTTCATGATAACTACTATTGACATCTCATGGACCTAATGAATCCCTTAGTCGCCAAATGCCGCCCTGATGGTTGGAAAAAAGACTTGTGGATACTGTGAATATAGCCTGTCCAGTCCTTCATGCGGTTGAAACCGGTAGGGACGTGTGCCTGTGGGTCCCAGTGCCTCCCTGCCCCACCTCCCCAGCTTTAGCCATCCCCCACAGACCAGCTCTCGGGGTCTCCTGACCTCTTGGTCACTGTCGTGGGAGAGTTCCAAGGCACCCACTTTCCCAGGAGGCATCCGATGGGGGCTGACTTGGGCAGGACTGTCCTCCTCTTCGTTGGACGCCATCCAGGGATTTGTGTCCCCCCCCCCCTTTTTTTAGCAGCAGCGTCCATGTCCTTACGCAGAGTTGAGGCTACTGCCAACATGGACAAAAGAAATAAGACAGTAGCTAATGATCGCTGTGTCAGTGAACTTAAAAGAGACATATGTTTTCTCCCCTCAGGTCCTCTTTGCTTTGAACCAGACCCTCCCGCAGCAGGAGAGCCTGTGAGCAGGCAGCCTTCGGATCCCTGCACGACAGAGGACCTTGTATAACACTACAAGTGCGGGGACCTCAGCTGCGTCATCTTCAGCCATGAGAGCTCCCAGGTGAGAGCCCCTGTCCTCTGCCCAGCTCAGCGCGCATTTAAATGCAAGAATAAGGACATTGCCTGATGGCACTGGGACATCCTGTGTACAAAGGACGGAGGTCAGGAAGGGCTCCAAAACTAAAACGGGGCAGATGTTGGTGTTGAATGAGAGGCTGCAGCTGAGAAAGTTATTCTTTAGGAAACTTAAGAATGGAGAGGGGCATTGATGAGAGTTTATTCCAGGGTCCCCGTCGAAGGATGAGGCTTTAGGGATTCGGCAGTGACCTCCTGGCTTAGGCAGCAGGCAGTGTGAACCAGCCTTCAGAGAAGGGAGGGGCGCAAGTCAGAAAGTCTCCCGGCTGGCTTAGGTAACCTGAGAAATGATGGAGCAAAACTTTGGCTGCGGCTTTCGGGGGCTTCCAGGAACAAATGAGTGCGATGCAACGGGAAGTGTTCATGGTGTTTGTACAGGGGGGCACACGAGAGGCTGGGGAGGATGCCGGCATTTCCAGGCATGGCTTCCACCCCGCCCGCCGTGTTGCAGTGAGTGTGGCCGAGCTGGTGCAGTGAGTGCAAGCCTTGCCTGGGGGCCATCTAGGGGAGGGGGCGGCTGGCCAGGCTCCCCTACAGGAGAGAGGTGGGACAGATGCTTGTTATGCTTTGATCAGTGAGCCTCCCATGGGACAAACCACTGCTTCCGTCCCTCCCCCACTAAGATCATGGGGAAGTGAGTCCAGCAGAGGTTTTGAGATGGGGGGGGTGTTGTCTCCCTCACCTGCAGGAGGACACTGGGAAGGAGAGAGGAGGGGGCTAGTGGGTGTGAGTGATGCTGTCCAGGTGTGTCAGATCTGGGTCACAGGAAAGGCAAGTGAGTATAGGCGTTGAAAAGGAATGTCTGCACCTGGCGTGGGGAGGGGGACCAGAGAGGCTGCATCCAGCGTCACCCTGCAAGTGTCAGAAGATCCAATGAGTTTCTAGACAGTCTAGAGCGGGAGCAAGTCAAACCAAGGCAAAGCAAGCAAGAGGAAGGGGAAAGCAAGAAATACACGAAAGAAGGCCTAGCAGAGTTATGGTGGTGCTGATTCATATGTGCACTCTGGGTGGAGGCGGGGGAGGTGGGGAGAAAGGTCAAGATCAGTTGGGAAATTAAAATTTGAAGCAGCAGAAAAAAGTTAACATGGGTGGGGGCTTTGGAAGTCAGAGGGGCAGATGGCAGGGCTGATGGAGCTGTTAGGGGCCAGGTATCTCATGCGTTTCTTGTGACTCCTCCAGGCCTGTCCTGTCCCCAGGGCCCCTGCGGGTGGTGGGGAGGATGGGAAATGTGCCTGCCCCTGTGGAATGAGGGCTGGGCAGGTGGCCCAGTGGCCAAAGGTTATAGGTCATGTTTGGCATTTAGAAGGTGGAGCAGGATGGTGGTGCGGGGAGGTCACCTTGCACATTGAGGGCTGCCTTTGTGGAGGGGCTGCTGGTGCAAAGGGAGGGGTGTGCTGAAGAGAAGAGATTCTGGAAAACAGAGAGGAGGGTCTGACCTAAATGATGTGATTAAAAAAAGATGACAAAGGAGAAGATGAAAGCTTTTGACTTGAAAATGAAAGAGCATCATTTCAAGGAAACAGCAGGAGATCTGTTATCCATGAAGTGGAAATTGACAGCTGTATCACAAGAGTGTGAGGATTCTTGAAAGGTCTTTCCAAGGCTGCTGGAAGTAGGAGAAGCACTTCGGAGGGTGGAAACCCCATTCTGTATTTGACTAGGGTGATGGTTAACCTGTTAAACCCCTGGGAGGAGAAGGGGCAGGGAGGGGAGGCTGAGGCTGGGAAGTGGGGAGAGAACCCAGTGTTTCAGCCTCACCTGCAGGCACTGCGTTGCACCCGCAACTGTCACAGTTTCGGTGTATCACACCTCCACCCTCCTGTTAAAATCATCCCCTTTAGCATCTCCAGAACAACTGGCTTGTGTGGGAGAATCTTATGAGATAACCTTTTTAAAAAATCCTTTGTTTTGTTGTTTTTTTTGAGGGGGGATTTTATTCGATCTACTTATTTATATAAATAGAGGTACTGCGGATTGGACCCAGGACCCCATGCATGCTAAGCATGTGCTCTACCACTGAGCTATACCCTCCCCGCACCCCCAGATAAACCTTTAATACTGTTTAAAACTCAATCTGACTCTTCCAGTGTCTAGAAAAAGTGACTTCATTGAATCTTCTAAGAGGTGAGAGCATCACTCCACTTCTGTCACTAAAATGCAGGGGCTGGGGTAGAGGGATAAAGAGACACACAGCTCAGCGTTTGAGGGTGTATTGAAAGCTTCCACGGTCTTTCATAGTGTAGGCAGGTGAAGTCACTGTTTTCTTACAATGTGCATTTTAAAGTACACACAGGACAGAACGGGGCTGGAGTCTTAGAGGTGGTGGGTTTATATAAATGAGAATGATTAGGACTGAGCGCTGGATTCAGAGGCGGGAGGCTGGGACTTGGTGTCCCCTGAGCTGTGCGACTCTGGGCAGCTCGCTGCACCGTTCTGATCCTCAGAGTTCCCCTTTCTCCGGGCCTCCCTGGCAGGGCTGCTGGGAGGCCCCACTGCGGAAGCCGTCTGAACTTACCGGGCTGGACAGCAGGGAGGGGGCTGGCAGGGTGATTTCTTGGTCCCAGGGTGTGTACTGGGGGGTATGTTTGGGGCTCACGAGAGCTGCCGCATTTCGGCTCGTTTTTCTTACTGCAGAGCATCTCATGGGCAGCCACACGGTGCTCGACGCTCCGCAGCGCGGAGGCTGTGGGTGGAGCGCACCCTCGCTGGGCGGCCCGTCCACACGTGACCTTCCTGTGCTTCCATCCGGGTTGGGGGGCAGCTCGGGGAGCCGAGGTGCGCTGTGTCCGGAGGGACCCCAGCACCGCCACCGAGCCACCCTCGGCCCCGGGCTCCGCGGGCGCCCCCTTGTGGCCGAGGCTGTGTCCGGCGTGGGTTGCCTGGCCTGGCACGTGGGGCGGCGGAGGCCACCCTGGCCTTCCCTCAGCAGTGCTTGGGGGCAGAGAGGAAGGTGAAGGGAAGGGTGCCCCGTGGTCCTGGGGCCCAGGAAGGGCGATTAGGCTCAACGATCAGTGCCTTTGACCTGCGCATCTGCGAAGTTTTAGGGAGGCAGGTGGTGAGTCAGTTACGACGTAAGGTCAGGGGCCCGGAGGTGCAGGGGGCGCCTGTCAGACCCGTCCCGGGGCAGGAGCGAAGCCCCTTCCCTCTCTCTGAGCTGTTTCCTCCCCCCAGGTCTGTTTATGTCTTGTTTTCATGCACAGTCACCCTCTGGCCCTGCGGACCCTTCTGTAAAGAACTCAGGAGGCCCCGACCCACCGCCACCCGCGGCAATGCTGCCCACCCCGCGCCGGCCTTCCTGCTAGCCCCTGCTCCGTGTCCAGCCCCAGTGGGCACACGGTGACCCTTCCTGCCCCCGCCGCCGTGATGAGGTACCACAGGCTGGGTGGCTTCGACAGTCTCACGGCTCTGGAGGCTAGAAGTCCAGGATCAAGGTGTCGGCAGGTTTGGTCTCTCTGAGGCCTCTCCCTCTGGCTTGCAGACGGCCGTCTTCTCACTGTCCCCTCGTGGCCTCTCCTCGATGTACACGCAGTCTTGGTGTCTCTGTGTGTCCAAACCTCCTCTTGTAAGGACGCCAGTCACACTGGATTAGGGCCCACGCTGAGGGCCTCATCTCAACTTAATCACCTCTGTGAAGGTCCTTCTCCAAATACAGCCGCATTCTGAGGTCTGGGGTTAGGGCTTCAGCGTGTGAATGTTGAGGGGACACAGGTCAGCCCTTAGCACCCCCTCCACGCGTCCCACCCCCTCCCGTGCGTGGTCACCGGCGCCCCCTGCTGGCAGAGCTCTCAGCTGTAGAGAGAGTCCTCCAGGAGGAAAATGCTGCCCTCTGCCGAGAGGCTGGAGAGGTGTCCGCCCGATGGCTGCCCTTCTCCAGGTGCCCTCTCTCTCCTCCGAACCGCCATCTTCACCTCACGTCATCTCAGGCCGGGGCCTACTCTATCCCCTCCCTCCAGAGGTTCCTCCCTGGGAGTCTGCTTTCTATGCCAGGGGCCATGCGTCTCTGGGTCCCCTCTTAGCGGGAAAGGTCGGATCCCTCCTAGGCTTGTCCCAGCCCCCACCTCTCTTCGTGTCCTGCATCCAGTGTCTCAGGAACATCGGTTCTTCCCACCAAACCTTCTCGTTACAAAAGCCCTCACCTAATACCTCTCAATTCCCACCTTCCTCCATGAAAATCTTTGTTGGCTCTGCCCCCTTTGCTCCCAAGGTCATCACCCTCTGGTTCTTCTCCACCTTTCTATGGGACTAATCTTGCGAGTGTTCCTTAGCCAGAAACCTTCAGGATTTCCTGCTGTTCTCTCTTCCAAAGTCCAGCCTCTTCATGCTGAAGCCTTGGCACCCAGACCCACCTTTTCCCAGCACGGATATGCTTCTGACACCAGAAAACCTTCTGTCCCCATGGCTGCCTCTCTCCCTCTGCTAATGGTCTTTCTTTCCTCTGTCTGCAGTGCCCTCCCCTCATCTCCTTGACTGGGGAAATCCTGCCCCATGTCTCCATCCATCCCTCCCTCCTGTTCTCCTTCAGCTCTGGAGGGAGAGCCCAGCCCTCCCTGAGTGGTTCTCTGCTTGGTTTTGGGGAAGGTAGTAGTGGGGGGAATCTGTGGCTCTTTCCCATTGTTAAATTGAAGTATAGTTAGTTTACTATGTTGTGTTAGTCTCTGGTGTACAGCATACTGATTCAGTTTTATATATATATATATTCCTTTTCACATTCTTTTTCATTATAGGTAATTATAAGATATTGAATATATTTCCCTGTGTGGTATAAACAACAGTAGACCTTGTTGTTTATTTTATATATAGTAGTTTGTATCTGCAAATCCTGAACTTCCAATTTATCCCTGCCCCCCTCCACCGGTAACCATATGTTTGTTTTCTATGTCTGTAAGCCTGTTTCTGTTTTGTAAATAAGTTCATTTGTGTCATTTTTTTTAGATTCCACATATAAGTGATATCATATGGTATTTTTCTTTCTCTTTCTGGCTTACTACACTTAGAATGACAGTCTTTCCCTGGACTATGTTCTCTTGGAAAGCAGGGTGGGCTGGGTCTCCTGGTCACTTCTCAGGCCCTGGCCCCAGGCTGACCAGCTGAGCTGGGGTTTGTCTTTCCCCACTGCTCCGGCCTGGGTTCACCCTCTGCCACGACCCTGCGGAGTTTGGTGTGTACAGTGGTAGCCACTGTTCTGAAGCCTGACACACAGGCTGTCCTCCTGCGGGTAGCATCTGTAAGAGTTTTCAGTGCTGAACTGGCCTCCTGCTCCTGGGGAGGTCATGAGGGAGCACGAAGTCTTCAGAGGAGCTCCTATTCAGGGAGAAGAAGGGATGAGGGCCTAAGGGCCCAGAGTGAGGGAGATGCCCACCATGAAGAGGTGGGCGAGGAGGACCGGGGCAGGACTGTGGGGGCACCTGCTTCCTTTTTCCCCTCCTCGGCAGCCACGTGATAATCCTTGAGGGATGATTCGGAGCATATGGAACTTGAACTGGTTAGGCTGGTGTGGATGGGGGCGGGAGGGCTGCTAACCGGTCACCTAGCTCAGTGCAGCCCCGCCAGCACCCTGGGTCTTGGGGCAGGCGGGTATTATTAGGAAGGCTGAGGGGGTGCGTGTGTGGGGGTGAGGGGTGGGCAACCCGCAGCCCCTACCCTCCACCTATCAGTAGGCTGGTATGTACCGGAAATGCTCTGGCTGTGAAGCTGCCTTCCCTGCAGAGAAGAGGAAGGGCTGGGGGTCCTGTTGGGCTGAGCCTGAGTGTTTAGTGAGTCCATGCCCCACTCCCCCACACTCTCCTCAGGATGCTGTAGTAATTTTTTTGCTGCTATAACACATTACCATAAACTCAGTGACTTCAAACAACCGAGATTTACGATTATATAGGTATGTACATTGGAAGTCTGACACAGGTCCCATGGGGCTGAAATCAAGGTGTTGATAGGGCTGCATTCCTTTCCGGAGGCTCTAGAGAATCTGTTTACTCACTCGCCTCTTTCAGCTTAAAGAGGCTGCCTACATTCCTTGGTTTACAGCCCCTTCCTCCACCTTCAAAGCCAGTGACATTGTGAGGGTGACATCGAGGGTGTGTGGGACAAACAGGCAACAGACTGATCATGTTGCAGCAAAGTGTGTTACAGCTCAGTGTGACAGCAACCTAGATCCGGGCGAGAGACCAAGCAGCACTCGGAGAGTTGGAGAACTCAGGTTTATTACTGCCGGCGGGCCCAGAGGAGTTAACACTCCAAGTTCTGAACCCCATCTGTAGGTTTACATAGGCTTTTATAGGCTGCCAGTCTTTGCAACACTTTGCAACATCATATGCAAATAAGGTGTAGCAAAGTAGACTATTTAGGAATGAGCTTTGTAAAAATGGACCAATCAGGAGGGAGAGAAATGGACCAACCAGGTGTGAGCTCTGTGCAAATGAGGCACCACAAATGGACCAATCAGGAGTTAGCTCAGGGAGCCTATAGAATCTTAGGGGTAAGTTCCACTATCCTAGAAGTAAGCCGTCTTAGAGGCAAAAAGGGAGATAATG